TGTGGTCAGTGCTAATACAGACAAGCAAATCCAAAACCTAAAGCTACTCACATGATACTTCAGTCTGCTACTTTAATGTTGGAAATTTAAATAGATGCGGAGAACTAAGACGATGTAACTGCTGTATTTGTAGTATCAGAGTATTACAGCTACAGTAGTAGGCCACATTTGTTTACACTGCAAACAGAAATGAATCCAGGGAAATATTAAGGGATATTCAAAGACAGAAGGATTAGGACAGGCCTCAAAGCATGGTTACAAAAACTGCTCCTCCAGTCGCTACTGCGTGAAGTACCAAGATAAACTTTTTTAATACTTTTCATTCCCTTAAAATCTTTGAAGACTAAAATACAAGGTTTCTTGATCTTAGACCAATTTAAGAACAATATCTATTCAAGTATTTATTCATATTGCAGTGAAGTCTTTTATGAGTTGAAGTATATTTATTGTATATTAAGACTGTAAAATGGATCTCCCAAAGGTAACCATTAGCATTTGGCACGTTTTCAAACAGCAGTACATAATTTTTGACAGCCATGCAAAATTGTCAGAACACTTACTGTCAATTTTGTCCACAGAAACCTATCATCTAATGGAAACCAAGTTGCTGCTATAAAATTCTCATTGGCAGTAATAAGTAAACAAAACGTTCTCCATCTAATCATCAGCTGGGATAGGTGCAGTTACTATTATGTCCAGAATATATCACAAAGAGTTACTGAGTATCTATCTTGCTAGCCAGCTACAATAAATACTCCATAGAGTTGTATTTAACAACCTCTTCCAGAAATTAAGATGCTTTTCTTATGTCACAATAAGCACTGTAGCTTCTAAAAACTTTACTACTACTATCTCCTTCCCTTCTTTTCTCAGCCACTACAAAATTCATAGAAATATAGAATATCCCCGATCAGTAGAGAATCCCAAGGATCCAACTCCTGACTCCACAGAAAATCACTCAAAATTCAAACTGTATCTGAGAATGTTGTCCAAATGCTCTTTGAACTCTAGCAGGCTTGCAGTTGTGTTCATTGCCTGGGGAATTTGTTTCTGAGTCTGATCAACCTCTGGTGAAGAACCTTTTCCTAATATCTAATCTGAATTGACGTAACCAAGATTGCCATACTGACTTCTTCACGGCTAATCAGCAGTAGTTGAACATCAACACATGGAAATACCCTAATGGTTACAGATTCCTTAATGCACTTTCCTACAAAAGTCGACTGTAACAACCTGATGCACACCACTTGTTTCGTTGTATTTCCTTCCTGTTCTCCACTCTGGACAAGGTCTGCCTCCCTACCAAGTCTATTCAAGCTCCCCTTCCTCAATTTCTCTTACCTTCTTTTTTCCTTCCTGTTTAACTCTCAACTAAGCTTAAGTACTGCTCTAAAAGTTCTGAATCCTCACACAATTTAATTCACTGCTTAGGAATGATGAATGACTCTCAACAACTTCAATTTTAGCCAGTACCAGAAGAAGTTTGCACGTGCAGTTGGTGTATTAGAGACCTAACGATTCTTCACTGACAGCAGGCGTGGTCTTTCTTCCCCTGTCTATTCTGTCTCTTAATAGCAGAGTTAAAGATCTTCCCTCGCACTAGCTTTGGTTTCCATCAGACAACTAGTGAACCATTCCACCCACTAAACTAGTATCATGGTTTTGTGAATTTTGGTTTTTGGTATTCTGCATCATAACATCATGTGGGGCACTGGGAGTTTAACTATTAATGCTCAAGTTCTGAGTACCTGTTCAGAAGAGAAGAACTACTACATTCCCCAGGGGACTTTGCAGTCCCAGAGAGGAGATATAACTTCTGGCAAGGTCACCTGATGCGCTCTTTTTCGTCTGCTCTTCTTCGCTGGCTCTCCTCCCGTCTCCCTGCTGCTCAATTGGACTGCGCATCTTACCTCAGCATTATGGTGAGGCCTATCCACCTTTTGGACATTCTCTCTTTCACTATATTTGATTTATTAGCTTCAATTCTGATTATATTGTATTATGGTGTGTTATCTTGCATTCCAGTACCATATTTAGTAAATTACTTTGTTTTTCCTCAGATCGTTGCCTGTTTTTAATTACTTTGGGGTCCCCATCTCCTTTTTCCAGAGGCACGGATTTTGCAAAATCCCTCTGCCCCAATAGTCATGGAACTGGGCCGAACCAGCTCGTAAACCGTTGACAACTAGCAGAAGTTATTAACTTCTCTCCTTGCTGGCCTAGTTTTTAACTTGTTTAATGATCTGACTTTAATTAGTGGAAAGACAGACAAACAGCAGACTTGTTCCAATGATGCTGTGAATGGTTAAAAAAAGGAGGACTTTGCTAGGAGAGGGGAAGATAAGAAGATGGAGCTTTCCCTTTCAGTGTAACAGGCTCAGCCATTTTGCCAGGCACTAGCCTTACTTATTCTGTTCTATTCATGTTCAGTTTCTCGAAAGGTAATCAGGTTTTTTTTCCTCTGTATTCTCCTTGGTATCACAGAAAGAGTCAATCTTCCTTGGCTAGAAAACTGAGGTGACACCATTCACTCCATTATTTGTTGCTTTCATCCCTCTTCCTTTTTATACTTTTTACAAAGTAGCACTAATATATATAAAGAAAGCATGATGAATGAGCCATTCCAATATCTTCAGCTGACTCAAAGCATGGTCACAATCCCAGAATAATGAGATGTCTTAGCTGACTTGCCTAAATTCATAGACGCTATGGCATACCCAGTAATTTTTAAGTTTCCTTTTCTGAGTCAGGCAACTACTAAAAATACCACTGATCTTCCTTCTCTTTTAGATAATACTCAATAAGACAGCATATTGGTGTCAACCTGCATTAATAAAATGGTTCTGAAAATTTTCTCCCTAGACTTCTCTATCAGCACAATTTGAGAGAAAAGCACAGTTGGGAACAGCAAGGTTTCAAAATATTTTTCACTCAGACATGTATTCAGATGTGTTGAGAATGGTTTCAAAATCTAGCTTGGTTACTTCAGGGCAAAAGAAGAATAATGTATCTCTATGTTAGGACATGAAGAACTTCCTAGCAAAATGCAAATCAGGACTGCAGATTTACAGCTGTACGTCTTGATGTTTAGGCAATAACATGGAGATATTTCATTTGCCTCGCTACACTATGGTCTATTACTTACAGCTATCAGCTTACAGAAGAGTAGTACAACCAATGCTTTGTAAATAAGGACAGTTTAACTTCTATTTCAGAAAATGGGAAAGTCATATAATCCCAGATCCAAAGACATCTACAATTCTATGTATGGTGGTATAGTAGGAATCTTTTCCATCAAGATACAGCTTTCATGACACATGGGTAATAATGCTGGCAAGTTGTAATGCTATTGCTTTGTTTCCTTTTCTTGTATTACATCTTCAAGAAAGTTGCACCGATATTTGATATCTACACTAAGGTTGTAAGGTAACTGTAAACAACTAAAATGTTTTTTTTCTGCACTTTTTTCTCTTTACTAAGATGCTTTTGGTTAACTATGATTTTAAGCCAATAGATGCTATTTGTGTGCATGTGTTCCTATTTGGAATGCAGCAAAAAAAGCACAGTTACCCATCCACAGATTCTAAATGAAAAAGTCATTAAAGGCTAACTCAGCTCACCAAAAGATACGATCAACACCAGAAACAACAAAATGAGTAAAACAAAGAGCAACAGAATCCAATGAAGAAAGGAAACAAGAGCACATCTTTTTTGCTAACAGTGTTTACATCAGCTTTGTCATCTCTTCAAACAACACTTTAACTTAGCCTTGAGTGCAACAAGAATTACAAAGCAACTTCTAGAAGCAGCAGGCATAGGCAGTATTCAACACCCTGTAACTAAGATAATAGTTCCACATTCTTACACGCCTCTTTCTCCTTAAGCCTTGTCTTCCCATCTGTTTTAATCTGCAGCATTCTACAACTCATCTTGCACCAGCAATACTTACTAGGCCTGACTCTGAGGCAGTTTAGGTAATCTCCCAGTTTAATCAAAAAAAAAAAAAAGGAAAGAAGAGAAATTTTTGTGCAATTTTACTGAACTGGATTAGCCAAAGCTGTACTGGATTAGACCCAAATTGTCTATGAAGGGACAAAGCATTGGGAGTGCAAAGATCTTTCACACAAGAAGCTCAAGTCTAAGCAAATACTAAGAAATAAAGATACTAGAGGGTTTTTTTTCCCCATGTTTCTCAGTTTCCCTTTCAATTTGAGAGCAAAGAAAATTATCATAATTGTCCTGAAAACTGTTAAGGTTTCCGATTGGGACCCCTTTCTCATTTATAGAATGTTATCAGTTTGTACTTTCAGCCTTCCCTGTAACGCATGCACACCAGCCTAACTACACCCAGACTACTACAGAGTTAAGTGCTCCAGCTTTCCCATTTTTCAGAGAAGACTGATACAGATGACAAAATTCTAGCTAAAAAAGACAGATACATGGTATACAGCTTTGTATTTTTATATTCACAGTAAATATTTATGCCAACACCCACACACTCAAATGCATTGTAACACGGTTCCTGATGCAGTCCTTTTAAAAGCAAAGCATTCTGTTGTCTCATTAACCTCTTAAAGCAAAATGGTCACACCAGTCCTATACTTAAGGCAATGTAAATTAGCTTGCTTATGCAATATTCTATCAGTTAATCTGAACAAAGTAAAAAGAATGCTTTGGACAATAAAAGCTATGACAACATTTTGACAGACTAGAACACAAGAATAGCAGGAACATTGTATGCAGAAAAATAACTAATTTTAAAGATTATCTTAGCTATTGTGTTCAGGTATATTTCTGAGTAAGTTAAAAGTTCATATATAGTTAATGATAGGAGAAATACTACAGCTCAGCATTTCCTCTCTCTCTGCATACCTGTTTAACTTTGGTTAACAGGGCACATTCACTAACAATAGCATTGAATAAAATAAGATTAAAAAAACATCTGAAAGTAAATCATACATAATTACAACTTTTGTTTTTAAAAGTCAATAGATTTTCTTTCATTTAAAACATTATTAAAGGCTAGTATTAAAAAAATCCCTCTGACACTTTCATGGATTATCAATTCTATCAGTTTTTAAATATATAAAATAGGACTGACCTGCACAGAAATTCTGCTTTGTCTGAGTAGTTAGTCTCTCTTGTAGAGCGCGCTTTTCAAATTGCCCTGCAGTTGCATTCTGATGTAAGCATGGTTGTCTGATGGCAAATCCTAATTCTCCAGGTTCAGAAAACTTCAGATAAAATGGTGGCTCCAAATCATTGAAAGAGAGGTTTATAGCACTTTGTCTCCCACTGCAGTAGTCACCAAACATAGGTTCGTCTTCAGAGTTCTGTGTAGGTAATGGAAGAATCCGATGATGCAGCTGCGGGGTAGGCAGTCTTGAAGATAATGGAGAAGGAATAGGTGACATTTGTTTGTGTGCATTAGATAGTAGATAGGAATTACTAAAAACATTACTCACTGCTAGTAACGAGGGTGAATGTAGCTTTTTCTCTTCCAGCTTATTACTTGTCTGAGAATCATCAGGGTCTTCATTTACAGGCAGGTTCAGAAATAAATGATTGTTTTTTCCCCAGGATACCGTGGTTCTTTTCTCATATATTGAGCCTGGCAGGTTTCTGTCTACTCTTGTAATTTGTTTCAGTCTCTTCCATTCTGCAGCTTCATCTAAACTGTCACTCTGTATAACTTTCAGAAGAGCTTTATTGACTGCTCCCACAAGGTTGCATGACTCATCGGTAATGTGCACTCTCTCTGCTTTGTACTTCAAAACAGAGCCATCTTGCTCCTCTTCCTGTAGCACACTGTTTCTAGAGTATCCAGCAGTTTCATCTGCTGAATATCCATCAGTTCTTGATATAGACACATTATGTACTGTCGTGAAAACAGGAGAAACCATTTTTTTGTGAAAATCAGATAATGACTCTACATGGGTTTTCACAGCTTTTTTGTCACAAGCTTCTGAATCCTGTACTTCAGCAGCAATTCTGAATCCTGGTTTCTTCTTGCATACCTGGTCCGTACACTTGACATTTTTCAAGGTTTTAGGAACTGCAGATTTGCTTAACTTCTCTAGGTTGTTAGATAGATTTTCCTGAGATGATTTTACCAACGTGATACTCTGCTGTACATTTATAACTTCAGGAATGCATTCTGCATTATCCAGTAGTTCAATTGCAACTTTATCACCGTTGTCTTTTGATACAGAACTTGTTAAATCAGCATCCAGTTTCATAGCTTTGTTGCTTTCAAGAAAATACCCTTCTTTTATCCCTCTTGCTGGTTGTATACCAGCATCTGGTAATAAATAGTCTTTACCTTTTGCTGTTACACAACTGGAGGCAGAAAAGGAACTGGGAAAACTCCTGGTAGAAAGTCTCATGGGGAGCATCTTCTCATTACTCATTTGCATGCCTTGCCCCCTCAGTAAAGAATGTTGTTCATACAACTTATTTCTCCCTTTCCAGTGCCCGAATTCATCAAAGCTCTCTTTTCTTCTATATTTCCTCATTTTCTTGCCATTTAATTTGTCTCTCTTTGCAGAATCCAGAAAGAACTCCTGATGATATGCAAAACTGGAACAATCATCACATTTAAGTTTTGTGACTCCAGAAACAGCCTGTTTCTTTTCCTCCTGATGTCCCATGTTAAGGCCCAGAATGTGATGCGATCTCAAAAGACTGGATAACAGTTTTTCCTTTTCAGCAGTTAGTCTGTACAGCTCAGTGAGAATGTCTTTTGTTGTAGTTTGCTTGAAAATAATATCTCTGAAATTTTCATATGGCTGTTCTCTCATCTCCAATCTCTCCTGTACTTTATAGCAATTACAGAAACGTTTACTGGTTCTATCCAGAGTCACACAGCCCCTGTAAGTAAATCCTCTGACTTTTCCCTCTGGAAGATAGAAGCTGATGTAACAAACCTCCATTATGGGTTTGTGCAATTGAAGGACAGTATGCGTGCCTTCCATTATGCTTGCCAAAGTAGTCATTCATTTAAATTATGTACTAAGTGTATCAAAGCTTTCATGACATAGCATGTGAGGCAGAAAATGGACAGAAGGCATCTGAGTAATCTTCAACAATAACATTGTCTGCTGAAAAAAAATAAAAAGCCTGTCAAACTTGGTTATGGCAAATTTAATATGACAAATAACAAACCCACAGTAGCATAGCCTCATTTTTGCTGGTTTTTCTTTTTGTTTTGTTCTCTCTGATACACATTTTACCTTAAAAACCATCACAGAAAGCATATTGCTAAAACTCGTATTTGAGTCAATCTTTCTCCTATACATCACAGCTATCTCTAGTGTTCTCTTCCATAAGGTCACAAGACGTTCAATAAAACACCCAGCTCAAAGAGTATTTACTGTTCAGTGCTGAAACCTACTGCCCTCTCTGTTGAAAGTTAACTTACTCATCAGTGCTGAAACCTACTGCCTTCTCTGTTAAAAGTTAACTTGCTGTTATACACCTGGTTAAAAGAAATCACTCAAGCATGTATGTTGCTTTTCAGCTCAACACAAACAGCATCATAACACCACCGCAGTGTAATCAGATCTTGCTACTTATTGCATAGCAGGAAAAAGAAATAAAAATGAAAAAGATGAAAATTTACTTCTCATGGTCATCAGTCAAGCTGTTCTGACATCATTGAAGTTGCAAGAAAAAAAGCAAGTTTACTTGGTTAGTATACTCAGAATAGACCCATCAAATAAGATATAAATCTATTTTGATTCAAAAAGCAACAGTGTAATCATATTCCTACAAGCAGGTTTGCTGAGCCTTGTTATTTCTTTTTCTACACGTTGCATTGTATTTTCTTACTAAAGATTGAATTTACTTACATTCCTTTGATATATATGTTGTGGTTTGTTTTTTTTTTTTATATAAAAGTTAGTTTACTCTGAGAATGTAATTGGCTTTTTACGAAGGACGAATTCTGCAATCATAACTTAAGTGGGGAATTCTGAAGTCACTGGGAAATGCATAAGCATCAGGAAAAGAACTTAAGCTCAACAGCAAATCCTGCAGCACAAAAAGCTAGGGAGCACCTACTAAGTCTTCCCTTTGTTTAAAGTTTCAATAATCACAGACTCTCTTTAAAAACCAGTACATCAGAAGCTTCCATCATTTTGAAATAATCAGCCTTAACCTCAGGCAACAATAAGTAAAGGAAGCTGCCACATTACCATGTCACACATTTTTGTTTTAGGTATTTTTTCAATACACAAATACTGTATCAGGTTGTAGCATGTATCAAGTCAGATATAAAACAGCACCAATAACTTTATCATGAATCCATATCACCATATCCTAATCTAAGCAGCAAGTGGCATTTACCTAAAACATCATATCCTACCAACAAATAGTAACTTCTGCAGATTTTGAGCTAAATTTTAAAGCACTTCATCTAATTATAGTATTCTTTAAATAGTGTCAACATTTCTATTTCTTCTGAGTAAAAGAGTAAGTTTCCATTTATTTCATGCCAGTAAGTACATGTATGCTCAATCCTTGAAGAGAGAGTCTCACAGTAAGGAAGATCTCCATCAGGTGAGCTTCTTAATTCTGTTTACCAGCACCCAGTAGTTATGTGGCATCCAGCAGCCTGTGCAGATACCAGAAAGGGTAGGACAGGTAGAACACCTTCAGTTATTACTTCTGTTGTATATCTATGAAGCAACAAGACTATTTTCAAGTTTCTTGGAAAACTCTTCGAAAATTCTGCCTTCTTTTTCCTTCCTTAATTTTTGTCTTAACTTACTGCCTGATTTTGACATTCTGAAAAGGTTGGTACTGCTAAAAAGAGTGGCTTCACTTCTTGTTCTCCTTGTCTCCAGCTGCACACAACTGCAGCTTCTCTGGAGTAGAACTGAGCAATCATGCAGTCACAGGGAGCCACACTGGTAGATGCACCCCACTGTGCTTCTGCATATAGAAATAACTAAAGAACAATCTTCCTTCAGAGATATCTCTACCTTATTCTCCACACTAGCAGTAGGGAACAACACTTACGGTAGCATTTTGCAAATGCATCAACTTAGCCAAAGCACTAAATTGCCCCTTGAGTCATCTAGTGAGGTGAGCTACAACAAATATGAACTAGTTAACTTGCGAATATTTTCATAAATAAATACTCAGCCTCAGCTAATGAATGCTGAGTCAGTTCTTACTTCAGGGGAACTTTATGGAAGAGCAGAATTTCATGGGAGTAGCTGGGCAGAGAGATAGATGGCAAAGTCCATATTCTGGTCCACTGGCAACATGCAGTGGTTAAACTAGGAAGTAGAATCATTAACTGGGAAGAAAAGAATGAAGACTAGTAAAAATTAGCATTTCCCAAATAGACCAAAATCTATGCTTAGCACTGACTTGAGGAAGATCATGCATTACAATAAGGTGTTTATCCATGAAAATAATAAAAAAGCAATATAAAGAAAGGACATTGTGTTTAATACAGAGAATAAATCAGCTATTAGACCCAAAATTATAGTTCTACCTAGGAAAAAAACCTCTTAGCATTATTCTGATATATTTTTGTGTTTTGTCCCAAGTGGAATGACATTTTGTTACTAGATGAAACAACTAAAAGGTAATAGCATCATGGAAGCTACAGACAAACTGAACATCCTTGTATTGACATCTACAACACAGAGAGCAATTCAAACTGTTCTGAAGAATACGTTGCTCTTGGTAATGTGAATGAACTTTTTTGGACTAAGGAATATATGTGTAAGGGTGAGAATTTGCCAGTCCTTGAAAAAAAAATACCAATCTTTTGGGCCACAACACCTCCAAAACACAAGTAGTTTCCCTAACTTAATCTGATCTTCGAATCGTTGCGTCATCAGACCTACAACTCCCCCTTAATCATAAAACAAGCAAAAGCTGTTTTTTAAATTAAAAACAGATAAGCCTTATCTAGACTTTAATTATTATTTAAACTATATTTAAGTTATATTACCATCTCTGTCAAAAACCTATTCAGCTGGCTCAGACCTACTTTGAGGATACATCCAATTTTCTAGAAATTAAAACCTTAATCAGATAAAAAAATTACAGTTTAAGTAAAATACCAATTAATCCACAATGACTTCATTTTATCTACAGAAAATATAGCATGGAGTGACGACAAACTCCAGCATCTATGCTCACAGTTATGTATTTTAAAACAATAGTAGAAGAGAAGTGAGATTCACACTGAGAAAAATATCTTAAGAGAAAAACAGCTATTTAGTTGGAGATAGCTATTTCAAAACTAGAAAGAACAACTGAAATAGTGTCCGAGAACCAATTCTGTCACTGCGTTGTTTATTTTTAATTAATAACAGAGGAATAGCAAGACAACTTTGTTTTGCAAACAAAAAAAAGTTGCAGTGTAAGTGCTCCTCAATGTCAAAAGTCACACATTCAATAGTATGAGCAGACACCATTCAAATCTTCCCTGTAATTTAAGATTCAATATATATTGTGAGATCTACTCCTTCCACTCTATCACCACCTGTTCTTCTCTGCCTTTTCCTATCAAAAAACAAAACTGCTGTTCAAATTGTCCCCATAGAAATTCAGGTCTCCATTGCTGCAGTTCCATCCATCCAGTAGGGCACATCACCTCTGCTCAGTACAGCAGGTGCTCCTCCTTGCCCTGACCTTTAACCAAGATCCCTTACTCCTCATTTTCCCAGCTCTCCCAGATCTGTTTGTTATTAGGTAGCAGTGTGTCCCTGTGTTCATCAATGTTTGTTACTGGTACTTTCTGTGCTATATGATACAGCTCAAGAACCACACCAAAACAGAAGAAACTCGGTAAATGAAAGGAAGCAAAAAGGCAAAGAGAAGGGAAATTAATATCATAAAATAGAAGAAGCAAATGAAACAAATGCAATATTTGTTTATGAAGCATGATTTCTCTGATAGAGACAAACTCTAGCATTTACTTCTCTTCCTAAACTCTCATGCTTCTCTGAGGTTCTTTCAGACTATCATTCAAATAAATAACTATTGGTATCACTAGAAAGATAAAAAGTGATCATCAATTTGCAAAGACAATGTTACTTCTCTTTGCAACAGCACAGATATAAACTAACATATCTAACAGTAGGAATTTCCCAAGTACAAGCCCAAAGTGTTTTTAGTGCATTGTGACCACAATTCTAAAGTTACACTATTTAAAAGTTTGTGTGAACTACAGCAGGTACTGTTAGCAAGGGTAGTTAAAAATACCATTCTTTTCAATTACACTTAAATTAGTTCAGTACAAATACTGAACTATGTTAGAGTTGTTAAAGTGAAAGAAAGTCTATGTCAGACAGAACTGGTTTATTAAAGTTCAGACCTCATGCAATGGCACAGGGGAAGTATTAGAGCACATTAGAGCCAATCAACTGAGATGAAACATATAACATAGAACATAAGTCTGAAATTCATTAAATGAATCCACACTGCAGCGCTCTATATAACAAAAAAAGACTTTAAAATATAAATGCAAATAGTAATAGTAACAAATACACAAACAACAAAAATGAATGGAATTCACCAGAAAAGCATGTTAAAATGTCTTGAATCTCTTACGATCTGTGGCTATATCATTCTGTCCAAATTAATTCAGTGTAGGACTGAGTTCATACAACAAAATATTTTGAAATCCAACTCCTGAATACCTTAGCTTGGTGACCAGAAGAGAAAGAAATCTAAATGATTTGAAACAAACTCATCACTTAAGAAGATATACCATACATGGCAAGTAAAGATTATTAAAACTGTTTTTGAAAAATTTCTGGATTGACTGAATAAC